CTGAATGATTTAAGACTAAAACCACTAAAATTGGTGACGTTGGTGTCACTCAATAAATATTTTTGTAATTTTACGTCACTTAGACCCTTTCTAGCCCTTTACTGGGTGAAGCAAGCGGAGGAAGTGAGGGGAACTTTCAGAAAATACTTACCTAATGACATACTAACACCACACCAAAAATCAGCTAGTTATTAATTTGTTCTATTTTAGGGCATTATTTTTTCTAAAATTCCTGGGCTATAATGATTACTAGATATACCAATCATTGTTTAGAGAATACGTCATCTATTAAATAACAAAAAGATGTTTGGATAAAGTTGTTTTTTCAAACATTTACCAATATTTTTACATTGAAAGTTGTATACAAATAATGCAATTAATAGGAAATAACTTTGATTTCCGATAACTTTTTATGAGAAAATCCAAAACAAGTGATCAATAACCTCGGGAATTAATTAAAGCATTTAATTGGTTGGATGTACTATAGTTCTTAACTGTAAACGTTGGTTTTTGGTACTGGTTCTTTTCCTTAGAACCGTTGGTAGTAGCAAGAATCATTTTTACGTACCAACACATCACTGTAATTTACAAATTAGTTATCGTTGGCGTTGCACCTTATTTATTACAGCCGTATTCAATTTAATTGATGTCTTAACTGTATAAGTTTTGCTTTTTTTGTCTGGATTCCAAAATGTTAATTAATGCTAAGAAAATGATAACGCATTTGAGTAAAATATTTGTTGAGCAAACCATCATGAATTGTTTACGCTTTACGTTGTTTATGTATCAATAGTTCATGGCCTGTGTGTTGTAAATTTCTTAACAAAATCATATTTAGTACTTCATTTCATATAGTAATCCGTCATTTCGCCATCATTTTGTGTCATCTACGGACTAAGCAAATATAAATTGTTATGATAAAGTTTGGTGACACTAAAGTAAACGTAGGCCTACTTTGCTTTAGTCAAAGCGTAGCAAATTCCCTAATTAAATTCTGTTTTTTCGTGTGTATGACTGTTGGTAGAGCATATTTCTCAGTGTTCCGTACGGACAGGACAAGAGCACCTTTGATAGTGAAAATTTCAACCGGAATGTTTAATAGTGAGGTTGAGGTAGTATTTTAACTACTTTTAACCACTGTGGAAAGTAACTTTCAATTATAGGCCTACCTTAGGGATATGCCTCATAGATCTATAATGCATTTTTGTTTGTTTAATCATTGGATATAACATATGGACCAACACAATTCAAGTGATATTTAATTGCAAAGCATCTTTTTGGCTTGAAAATGTGAGAAACTGTATTTGTGAAGGTTTATATATAATAGCTTTGCCAGAATATCTGAAAATATACAAACTAGCTGCTGTTCTTAATATAAGAAGGTTTCAACTGACTACTATGAGACCCCCGAGCGTAGAACGGGCACACAGCTAGTTTTGCATATTTTCAGTCTGTAATGAGATATGGATTGATATTCTGGAATGGGTGTGGATGAATTAAAGAAATTCTAATCCTTCAGAAGAGGGCTATCAAAGCTATGAATAGATCGGAGCCAGACAAGCACTGCAAACCAATAAAAAAAAAAAAAAAAAATTAAAACAGTGCTTTATTAAACAAAAAAGAATCCATACAAACCTAGGCTCCTCGCAGGAATTCACAATGACTTGCACTAAACCGTAATGGTTCATAGAACCGTCTACGTGGTTGGCATACATCTTTTTTTTTCTTTACAGTACATAAAAAAAAAATTTTAAACTATAATTTCAGTTCTGGACTAAAATCAAAAGTACAAAAGTCTGAAATCAAAATGTTAAATTAAAGCTAATAAAACTAAAAAATAAAATAGCTGGCTCACAACCCAATATATGTTTTAGATATATAGATATACATACATACATACATACATACATACATACATACAGCTATTGTTCCTGGATACATCAGTCGCTCAGTCGCTGGCAGTTACGACAATGAAGGCATTGCCATTTTTGCACTTCAGTTTACATATTACTTATGGGTAAGATAAGTCAATATTTTCTGTTTATAATTGATGTAAATGACAATAAAACCTCTATATTTCAGCCCTCGGTAATACAGACCCTACAATAATCAGCTTAATCTCATCACTTGTAAAAGGCCTAAATGGAATTTGAGGTACAATGGAATTTTAAATCTACGGTACAATGTAGAACAGTACTATATAGCAGTGTGCCTGTTCTAAGGACAGGGATCTTGTTGTTAGTTGGAACCTTTTTATATTCTGAACAGCAGTTTGTTTGTATATCAAGTAGGCCTGGATGCATTTTCCAAAAATGCAGACAAAACAATTATACACAACTGTCGGTAAGACAATATCTGGCAGTTTTAAGTCAAATCAAATCCCTCACAAATTATATTCACATGAATAGGTATATTTTAGTAGTCTATCTATATGGTAGGCCTATATGATAATTAAACTAAAACAACAACAACAATGGTGCTCCTGTCTTTTGGTTGAGATACTGAGGATTAAGGGGTATAATAATTTTTTTAAGGTTTAAACTGTAATAAATTTGTTTATTTATGGTCTCACCCTTTATATCTTAAAGCACCCCCATCACCTAAAATTAAATAATCATAATCACAATACCAGATTTAAAAATAGTGCCTTGTTAAAATCACATTGTCTGAGTAAGACTAGCAAGAGCCACATAGTGTTATCAACTAACCTTTTAAAACACAATATTCAATATATCAAATATTCAAATATCAAATATTCAATATTGCTGCTTATCCACAGCAAAAATGTAAGTCCTTGTGTTATAATTGGCTATTAGACAATCCTTCTTAGCCTGGACGATTTTTTCAAATCTGGCCAAATAAATCTTTGACTTCATATACCCTGCTGCTCAACTGATGCTTTATCAGTTCCTTAATTATTCTTGTTTGTTTAGTCTTAGTTATTAAGGGCTATTGTTTTTAATAATATTGAAAATGTTGTTTTTGTTTTGTTTGACAAATGATGTATGATCATGATTTTGACTTTGTCGATGATCTAAATGTATCCTTATGACGAATAAAGATTTTATTATTTTTAGTGAATTTACCTATAGGGAAGTAGCTATTACCGCAGGTGGCACGGTAAGACTTAGGGTCAGGACCGATATATTTTTTCATTTTGATGTCCCTAGAGGTCAAAAACACTTTTCGTTCAAATTTTTATATAACATATACAACCGTGAACGCGATAACTTTAAGTAATTTTTGTCCGATTTTGATGACATTTGGCTTGAAGGTGTAGAGCAGGAACCAGCAGAATCGGATTATGGGAACGGGGTGTTTTATGTTTACTTAGTTGCCATTAGCTGTATGGGCTATTAATTAACAGCTGTGTCTAAGGAATAAGTCGGCCTTGGTCACTAACAAGACTACAAGATCGCGCCACTCATCCTACACTCATCTCCATTCATACTTGGCTTAAAATACCTACTTTGTATGGTCGCCATTTGACTGAAAAGTATAAAAAATGTACGGGTAAAAATTGGTTTTTCTGACCCTCAAAACATAAAGTTTACCAATTTCTCTTTATACCATTTCAAAGAGCTTAAAAAAACAAATAATTTAGTAGATTGAAGTGTTTATGTGTGGTTATTGGTTACAGAGAAAATTGAATAAATTGTAAATTTAAAATTCCCATGTTATTCTCATGGGGATAAGTACGCTTGTAGTTTGCTTGGCACTGCGGCACTCAAAGGGTTCAAATTACTGTCATAATTTTAAACCTGATGAAAAGATTTCTGCAGTGATCCACAGGACCCGCTCCACAAATGGTCCGATTAACTTTTTTCTGTAAAATAAGAATTTCTTCTGAGTAAGATGAATGCCCCACAGCATTAGTCCACAGGATATACATTAGAACCCCGGTTAACCGAAATAAAGCCGTTTAGGATAACCAATTTTTCGGTTAACCCATCAAATGCTAATAATAGCTTATGTATTACCACGTGTGTAGGAAAAATGAATTAAAAACAATGCCTATATAATACAGTGTTTTATTTCAGCTACAAAAATGTTTCAATGGGCCAGAACATACCCAGAACTATAGAGAAAATGGCCTCTCTGTTTACGTATTACTTATTGTACTTATACAGGGTGTTTTTTTTTAAACTTGCATCTTTATTTATGTAAAAACCGCAATAATTAGAAATATGCAGTTTGCGGGAATCATCTATTGACGTAGAGGGCCCAATTGTTTTAAATTCAACATTACATTCACATTCCCCCCCTTTCCCCCCTGCCCCCAACTTAACTTTTTTAAATAGCAAGGTACCGCTTGTGACATATCAAATAAAAGAGCATGAAAAGAGAAAATGTTTGGTGAAAAAAATTTAAAATCGGCTCATAAATTTGTGAGATATTTCACCCACATAAATAAAGATACAAGTTAAAAAAAAAAACATCCTGTATTTTGGACCTGTATTAATTTATGGAACCGTTTCGGTTAACCCGATTTCAGTTAACCGGGGTTCTACTGTATGTGACTGAAAAAAACCAAAGTATGCCACTCTAAAAAAATAAAAAGTTACAAAATCTTTGATTTTTCAGATTAGGAAATTGATGTGGGAAATTTGTTTACAGATGTTTTCTATTTGTTCTTGCCAATTTAATATAGAATCTACACAAAAACCCAGCAATTTGACTGAATGTCTTAAATTTCATTGAAGAGGCCAATTAAAATATTTTGTGTTTTATCCTGATTACATTAAGTTTATTTGCTGAGAACCAAACAGAAGCTAGGTTTATGGCTTCATTGGTAATTGCATTTAGAATGTGAATGTCGGGTGGCGATTAGGGTTACAAGGGCACATAGGCTTGCGGTTTGCATGTGACACCCTATTGGTCAGAGAGATATTAGTGCCCCCTCCCACCTTCCTTGCTAGGGAATTTCTCTCTTCCTTTTGACCCTCGGCGCAGGCCTGAGGAAATATCAGTAGCCTACACGTAGTACTAACTGTTTACAGGTATGGAGTGGGTACCCGGAGAGAGAAATGACCTGTTACTAGCAACTCTGCACACACCCTACTACCTAGTCATGTGGGACATCAACAAACAGACAAAATTGTGGAAAAAAGGATTCCTAGACACCATCTTCTACTTCCAGTTTAACCCTTTTAACGACACTGAAATCGCTTGTAAGATTTGTTCTAAAATTTACTTTATATTTTGTTGAACATTTAACTTTTATGTACCTTTTATATTATGTTTGGTCTTGCCATATTAGGTTTTTAGCACAATTAAATGTTGCAGCACGCTCAGAATTGTGGCTGTAGAAGAGTGTGAGTAGATATTCAGTATTTGTCTAGAGTAAGTGAGCATAGAGCCCATTGAAGTTGGACTTGGGACTAGGACATGAATTAATGCTATACTATACCTTCCGCAAAGATTCGTGGCGGCTGAGGGATTAGGACGGTCGGGTGGTGTCCCAGCCCCTAAATGAGCCCTCGCTCGACTGCTCTGGGTTTTGACCATGAGTCACCCACTAGGCTCAATGCATAGTTGGAAGAATTTTTGTATATCGCCATAAAGTGTATTAAATAACGCCAGTTTTGTAACCTGCGTCAAATAACAAGAACATTGAGCCCAAACACGAAATAATTACAAAAAAATACATTTGGTTTAAAAATTATAGACAGTTTTTGTGTCGTTGTATGCTTAATATCATTGCAATTATTTCGTGTTTGGGCTCAATGTTCTTGTTATTTGATGCAGGCTACAAAAATTACGTTATTTAAAACACGTTATGGTGATATACAAACATTTTACCAACTATGCATTGAGCCCAGTGGCTGACTCATTGTCAAACCCCAGAGCAGCCGAGTGAGGGCTAATTTAGGGGCTGGGACACCACCTGACCGTTCTAATCCTTCAGCCGCCACGAATCTTTGCGGAAAGTATAGTGTACATGTTGCTCGAATTTGAGCAATTGTATTGTAGTATTACAGAAGTTATTTCAAAATAAAAAGAGTCAACTCAAAGATTACCGGCGTGTAACTCTGGAAATACCCACGATGTACATAACAGTTCGATATAATCAACATTTCCTGTAAATATTTTATCATATTTCATAAGCTGATATTGTTTTTAGCGTTATCTACAAACATTTCCTGACTTATAGCCGCATAAGGTTGTCCAAGTTTATGTTCGTTATTGATAACGTAGCCTGCATGGTACCACCCTTGTTGCCAACAGTAAGTTTACAAATTTCAGTCATTTTTTAATAAAGATCAAATTTGTTCTAATTATCTCAAGGACTTCCTGCATAACCTGTCTATCACAATTTTATGTGTTCAATTGGCGTTCTTTTGGTTGGTTGCAATAACGTTACTTATATTTACCTGAGAAAATGCAGAATAAAAGGCCTGATGTTGTTTGGTTGGTTTTTGTTTCCTTTAATTGTGAATAATAATTAAATCCTTCAGTGAAAATTTTAGTAAGGGTTTCTTGGATATAGTCATAGGCTATTCTTCTAAAATCACTAGACTTTTATGGAAACATAGATTAAATGTCCTTGACATACCAGATTTCTTAGAGGGATTTTCTCTGCAATGATCACAAAAGTAAGTCCATGTTTCCTACTAAAAATTGTAGCACTTCGGCTAACATCCTCGTTCATCATTTGTAGGAATCTTCATCTTGTAGGTGTTCTACGTTATACAGGGTGATCGAATGCGAAGAAAAAAATGCGAAGAGTAAATAAATCAAATAAGTCTTAAAATTGCATCCACATTCCAAAAAGACCATAAAATTCGTTAAAAATATTAATTCTATTATTTAAAAAATGGCGGCAAACTTGAAAAGTGGAAAACTGTGAATTTTTTGGAATGTGGATACAATTTTAAGACTTATTTGACTTATTTACTCTTCAAATTTTTGCTATAAACCTACTTGTTTAGGAGCTACATGATGTAAAATGTACACCGGAAGTCATTTTTCCATAGGCTGTAACTCCTAAACGAGTGGGTTTATCGAAAAAATGTCTAGAATAAAAAAGTTTTTAAATTGCATGTTCTATCCGAAAACATGATAAACATAGGGTGTTGTATAAGAAATTTCAAAGTTGGCCGCCATTTTGGAAAATGGCAGCTGAATTTCAAAAAAATAAAATCATATTTTTATCTGCCACAAAAAATAAAGGAATGTCACCCATTTAAAGTTTTCTCTAATTCTTACCGTTTCCGATATCCCAATGGTGGCCTCCTTGAGTTGATGTGTAGGCTAATAACTATAATAAATTCTAAAAAAACCTTTATCTCTATTCCTTCTACTCGGTGGCGTTCTATGACTTTTTGTATTTCCATAGTTAGCAAATCGGTTCTTTCAATGATTGTCAAGAAATACAGTACTGTGTCAACTCAATGTTCTAATTTGGATAATATATCCAATTGTCCGGGCTTTCTAATTTTTTTCGATTGTAATAAGTACGCAAACCCAAATTCAAAGAGTAAATATTTAATTTCAACCAGGTCAGTAAGATTTAATTTTTGAAGAACGCATTTCCTTGAATTTCAACTTAATTATTAACAGCAACTAAATTATCCAGCTGATCATAATTTAAACAAATATTTTCATCACAAGGTTAACATGGGATCTTTAAAATCCACTGGGGCAGAGCCCAAGAAATTTTTCAAAGAAATAAGGTGAGTTGGCAAATCTATGCGACACGATCTTTCCAATGAGACGTCAATGGTCATAATCGGTTAAGAAATGGTGGAGGAGTTCAAAGGACAAATTTCGTGTTGGCGTATTAATTATATAGAAGTCTTAATTAATTAATTAATTGTCCTTTGTGTGTTGTAAATAACTTCTAGCACATGCCATTGTTGTGATTATTTAAAAACAATGTTATTACACTTCCCATTACATACACTTCCAAAAAAAGCAAGTCTAGATAGTTGTAAAATAATCTTTAGAATAAAAAGTGGATCATAATAAGACATTTTAGTGGATTCATACTTACAGTATAAATAGTAGCGACATGTATAATCATAGTGCTTAAAATTTGGGATTGGCAACATGAATCGATACCGATTCCCCAACTTTTGGGATAACACTGTTAGTGTTAAGCTAACAATGAATATTAGTGATTGGTCTATAAGGCTAATGGTACGATGGGAAAAATAAGAATATGAGTTTTTAAAATTCTCTTTTTCTATTGCACCCTGAGATCATTGCACATATGGTGGTGTGTCAACGCCAATTCTCAAATCCATTGGATCCTACCTAATAAAATCTTCAATTTCTTATTTCATCGCTGTTGCCCTTGCCACTATCACTGTTCTGTTTACTCATGACAGTAAACAAAATATAATCCATACTACATTCTCCAAAAATAGAAACATTGGATATGTTTAAACTTGTTACCTATTCCCTTTGTTTAGGAGGGAATTACATAACAGTTTGAGATTCCAGAAGATGACCACTGTTTCAGAAGATGATCACTATTTCAGAAGATGATAACTGTTTAAGAAGATGATCACTGTTTCAGAAGATGATCACTGTTTCAGAAGATGATCACTGTTTCAGAAGTTGATAACTGTTTAAAAGATGATCACTGTTTCAGAAGATGATCACTGTTTCAGAAGATGATCACTGTTTCAGAAGATGATCACTGTTTCAGAAGATGATAACTGTTTCAGAAGATGATCACTGTTTCAAAAGATGATCACTGTTTCAGAAGATGATAACTGTTTCAGAAGATGATCACTGTTTCAGGAGATGATAACTGTTTACTGTTTCAGAAGATGATCACTGTTTCAGAAGATGATCACTGTTTCAGAAGATCATAACTGTTTCAGAAGATGATCACTGTTTCGCGGTTGCGGAGGAAGATGATGATTTCAAATAAATGACAAAATTAAGTAAATTTCGACAAGAATTGATTTTTACCGTGAAAAATGTTTCTCCTAACCTGAATGAAATTGAAAAAAAAACCCTCCAACATGCCTTTTGAGTTGCATTCCACTTGATTGTATTCTTTTGTACAATAAATACAGCCACAAAAAATCATATCGCTACAGTTTTGATTTTTATATTGAGATGATTTTGGTTTTTAGACAATTTCCCTATAGGGAAGTAGCTATTACCGTACTTGGTACGGAAAGACCTAGGCCAATTTATTTTTTCATTTTGATCTCTCCAGAGGCAAAAAACACCATTCGTTCAAATTTTTAAGTATTTATTTGGTTTAAAGGTCTAATGCAGGATAAACTTGAATGAGTTCGCGAACCTGCATGATTGTACCATGGGAACTGGGTTTTACGAGGGGTTTTATGGGGTAAAAATTGGTTTTTCTCATTTTTGACCCTCAAAACACAAAATTTCTTAATTTCTTTCTAGACCTTTTTAAAGAGCTTAAAAAAATAATGATTTAGTATAGCAAAGTATTTTTGTACGGTTATTGGTAAAAGAGAAATTTCAAAAAATAGTAAATTTAAAATTTCCATGTTATTCTTATGCGGCCGTGAACATATTGTAACATGTTGAAGTTTGCTTGTTTATGGATATATTTGAATCAAACTTGATTTTACTAAAAAACACACTTTATTAGCTTCCTTGTAGCATCAAACCTAGGTACTCATTAAACCTAATGTTATTTAATAGATTTAATCGAAAATCAATTCAGACAAATGGAAATTCGCTTGGTCTGCAGGTTTTCTGCGGCGGGGGTATTTCAGTACAGTATCTATATAGTACAGTACAGTATATACATGGTTTTTTGATACAGTATCTAAAAACAATACATTTTGGTACCAAACCTATTATTAAAATAGTAGGCTACAGTAAACAACACGTTTAGCCTAACGTTTTTTTTTAGATATAACTATTTTTTCAGTTATGTGCATGGATTGTATCCTATTTTTGGATGACTTCAACCCAAGTAAAATTCCTGCATCAAACGGAAGAAAGTTTTACATATCAAGTCCTAGAATGGGAGAGACTGAGGATAGCAATAGAACTCGAGACAGGTTGAAGAAACTTATGAAGGGACTTGTAGTTGGAGACAGCAAACCAAGGTGAATAAAGTTTAGCAAACTTTAGCTACCTTTTAGGCTTACAACTTGCTTTATATGTAAATATAACACCATGGACAAAAAGGATTAAATACAGACTGCCAGCTGCGCTGCGGTTACCATGGTTACCATAGGTTCTGGCGCACACCGCTGGGAGCGCCGAGTAGTTACGTAGCGTGTACGCAGTAACTACATGGCGCTCCCAGCAGTGTGCGGCAGAACCCTTGGTAATCGCAGCACAGCTGACAGTCTATTTTTAATTTTTTTTGTCTATGATAACACACAGAATATGAGCATTGACTATATTGGATACTGAAGTAGATTTCCCATCGGACCATTGGACCAGCTGTAGCCAATTTTTTATTAAAAAAGAACGTAGTTGTGTGAGCCAGTCACAGAATGCCTTATTGCCTAAAATTCTATTTTATACCTTATTTTTTGTTGCTGACCAGGTTGATGGGTCATAACAGTTGCTATAACTCATCATAAGTCATTCCCTATGTTTGAATTGGTAAACAAGCTGTATTTGACAGAATTAATAATTTAGATCAGCACAATCTGTAGGTGGCTCACATCAACTACAATGATTTTGATTAAAAATCTGGCTACAAATTTAGCATGGGGATGGAATGTCTATTGTTGAACAGAATCAAGACAATAACTCTAGACCTAGAAAATATACATTTTATTAAACCAAATCAAATTATAACCAGAATAAAGTCGGTGTATATCCATCATAATTAGGTTTTTATAAATGAAATTTAAATGTAAATGTCCGCAAAATTATTCAATGTATTACCAATTTTTTTTTTATAATTTTCTTTCTAGCAAATCTTATATACCTTCTAGCCTTATTGTTGCTGGGAAATGGTTTAAAGTCTAATCTAAAAACTAAATAGCTATGCATCGCTGTAATATTTACTCTCAGTCTAATACTTAGTTTAGTCTTAAAACTCTCTGCTTTATGGCTGGTGTTTAGATTTGTATAAATTTCTGCCATTATTGTTGTTTGTAGACCTGATGACACAATGACAGTGTCAGAATGTCTGGGACTCAGTTATCATCAGTCCCTTCGTCACCACATGCTCCTGCACTACCCTAGGGATATACTCATCATTGATCTGCTCATCAACCAAACTGTTGGCATCATACCTGTGGAGAAGGCTATGACTCCTTTAGTGCAGGCAAGTATGGCACACTGTAACCGTTTCACTGTAAGTGTTTTGTAAAGAACATACTTTTGAAAGTTCAGACTATTAAAGTTGATGATTGGGACGGGATAACATTTTATTTCCCATTGTCTGCAATTTTACTGCGTTGTAAGTGCCATTTATGACATCTTCGCGATTGCGGGAGCTTCGCGACTGCGGGAGACATTGCCGGTATAACAGGAGACGAAAATGATGCCTCTGTGATCAAGGAAGATCTTTATGATTGCAGGAGCTGTTCACAATGGAAGTGCGTACGCAAGGCATGTTGAGGCACCTTGAACGAGGGACATGTACACGACAACGCTGTGATCGCGGTAGATGTTCATAACGGCGCTGGGATCGCAGATTAAGATTATAGTCACAGGGTGTCCACATTCTGGAAAGTCAGGGATAGTCATGGAAAGTCATGGAAAAAAATTCTGGTCATTGAAAGTCATGGAAATAGGCAAAAAGTCATGGAAAGTCATGGAAATCCCCAATGATGGATGGATTCCAGGGGACCTTTCAATGCTCTAGTCGGTCGTAACCCCAACTATTGTAGCATTTTCCGAATTTTTCACAAATGTACGACAATTTCAATTTATACAGTTATCTTAGTTTATAGGTTTTGAGTTTGTATTAGTTCATTGTTGTACCTATTGTACTCCATTGTTATCTGTTATTACATATTTCAATATTTTCTGTGAAATAACTTGTCTAGGCAGTATTATTCGTGTGTATACGGTATATTATAATTTTTGAGTTAAGTTCGTGAGTCATGGAAATCAATGGTTAATGGTCATGGATAGTCATGGAAAGTCAGAGAAATTAAAGGTAAAATTTCTGTGGACACCCTGAGTCATGATGACATTTTGAAAAATTTATAATTAATACTGCTTTTCTACTGGTAACCAAACCATTCTAGGTCTTAAACATAGATTTTTAAAGGCAGTAGTTTTTTTAATGCAGTAGTTTTTTAAATGCAGTAGTTTTTTTAGCAAATTTCCCAGTAGGTGGCACGGTAAGACGCACATAGTGGCATCCCCATCTTAAATAATTGATAATTGATAAGTCCGGGACCGATTTACTTTTTCATTTTGATGTCCCCAGAGGTCAAAAACACTATTCTTTCAAATTGTTATTTAGTAGTGATTGGTCGGTACCACTTTTTCAATGTCGGTACCGGTACCAGTTCCTAACCAAAATCGATTCTAGCCGCTATTGGTTGCCTGTTTGAATGTACTCAACAAGTTAAGGAAAATTTAGAACAAAAGTATTTATGTAAAGGACGTTTTGAAGAAAACTTTAGAAAATAAGCCTACATATTCATTTGAGGTTATAACTTAGTTTAAAGTGCAGGATTGTTGAAAAACAAAAAGTTTTAACAAAGGCTTAGTTTGGTGATTGATGGTTTTTTTGTAGGCATAGTGCCTGTACCGGTGTGTGGGTTTTAGCGATTTCCCATACCGTAGTACTCATGGTAAGACCTGGACCCGGGACCTATTTACTTTTTCATTTTGAGGTCCCTAGAGGCCAAAAACACCATCCGTTCAAACAAATTCATATATATACAGTAGAACCTCTTTAATCCGAACTAATTGGGACCAGGGGTAGTTTGGACTATTGAATAGTTCGGATTACAGAACATATGCACGTGCAAAACACGTGGGTAGAAAATTACTCACTTATTGGAGGCTTCTCAAGGAAATCCCATGTCAAAGGAGGAGTGGTCGCTTATGTAAGAAGTGGCTGGGAAAAGCATGTATCACTCATATGCACAAGTAGCGAGGAAACAGAACTAATTTGCGAAACTGTGCTCTTTGAACTGAAGCTAAACAGGAATCCACTGCTGGTCCTCGGAGTATACAGGCCACCAAGTGCAAACCTAGACCAAGCCATCGATATACTCTCTGAACAACTGGAAACAGTGCTCACTACGGATAAGCAAATATTAATAATGGGAGACATCAATGTAAACAACCTAGTTGATGACAATGAAAACGAAAAAATTGAAGAACTCCTAACCTCCTTCAATATCTCAAGACTGAGGCTACCTCCCACTCGAATTACAAGTGACTCAGAAACATCAATAGACTGGATATGCTCAAACATTGATAATCAACAAATAGAAACCTCAGTTATAACATCAGGACTATCTGACCATACCGCACAAATCGCAAAAATCATCACTAGAAAACCGATCATCAACAACATCAAAGAAAATAAACGAACCTTCAACAGAACAACAATAGATAATTTTAAGACACAGCTACAAGAACAATACTGGGAAACTATAATACAAACTCATGACGTAGATGAAGCCTACAACAATTTCAGCAACATCATCCAGACAACACTAAACCACGCCTGCCCTCTTAAAACGTCAAGAGTTAAACAACATAAAAGGAGACAGTGTTGGAATCAAGAATCGGCTAGACTTAAAAATGAATATATAAAGGCCTTAGAAAAGGAGCAAACAACCGGACTTATGGAAGACAAAGCCAGAACAACTATTAAAAAAAGGGAGTACGACCAGCATTTGAAAATGCTTCGAAAAGAAAACAACACAGCTCACATAAACCAGGCTGAAAACAAGTCTAAAGCACTGTGGCAAACAATAAACCGAGAAAGGGAAGCGAGATCAAATACTGAAAACCAAATCCATCTTCAAGTCAACAATAAAACAATAGACGACCCAATAGAAGTTTCAAACTGTTTTAATGATTTTTTCTCATCAATAGCCGACCGAACACTCCAAAATAACAATAACTCTAGAACCAATGCCTTAACAGACCACTTACCAGCAACACATCACACACTCCAGTTCAGACGGGTCACACAAGAAGAAGTGCAAAAGGCCATTCAATCTCTAAAGATGAAAAATTCATCCGGAACTGATGAGGTATCAGCTAAACTTCTAAAAAACTGTAAAAATGAAATAGTAATACCCCTGACAGACCTCATAAATAAATCACTCTCACAAGGAAAATTCCCAGATAAATTAAAAATAGCTAAAGTCTACCCAAAATACAAAAATGGACCAACGATAGAAAGAAACAGCTACAGGCCAATCTCCCTAATATCAACATTTTCAAAAAATATTCGAAAAGATAGTACTAGCCCAACTCCTACACCATCTTCAAGAACACAACCTTCTCAATAGTCAACAGCATGGATTTATCAAAGGCAGATCGACAGCTTAATACAACTGACGGAGCACATACTAGACCAACTAGAAGAAGGCAGCACTTCAACAAGCCTCTTCCTAGATTTTAGTAAAGCTTTCGACTGCCTAAACCACGAACTTCTTCTACTCAAGCTGGAAACACTAGGCGTGAGAGGAAGAGCAGCAGAATGGTTTAAAAGCTACATTAGTAACCGGAAACAGCTTGTGGAAATAGCCTACATAAAGAACAACACAAAGTATAAGGCCCAATCCAAAGCTGTAGACGTGCAAAGAGGAGTACCCCAAGGATCAGTACTTGGCCCAGTCCTTTTCCTCCTTCTCACGAATGACCTACCTAGTTGGATTGGGGAAGATGGACACACCACCATGTACGCAGATGACACGGTTCTCACATTTGCGGACAAAACAATGGAAAATCTGGAAGAGAAAACCAACACACAACTCCAGAGAACAAAGCAATACTGTACCTCCAACGACCTAGTTCTAAACGAAAGCAAAACCGTTCAAATGACTTTCACCACCAAACGCAACAACACAGACATTACAATACCGGGACTACAAACACAAAATACCACAAAATACCTAGGCATCATAATTGACTCCAAGCTATCATGGAAACCCCACATAGACCAGCTCTGCAAAAAGCTAAGTTCAAGTCTCTACGTTATACGTAGGATCAAGCAAGCTTGCAGCCCAGAAGTAGCCAAAGTTGTATATTTTGCTCTATTCGAGTCTCACCTCAGATATGGCATTGCGACTTGGGGTGGAACATCAAAAGGCAACCTGGAAAGAGTACTCCTAAAGCAAAAAAGAGCAATTAGATGCCTTGCCGACCTGAACTACAGAGACAGTTGCCGAGAAGCCTTCAAGAACCTTAAAATTCTCACATCAATTTCACTCTACATAAGAGAAGTCATTATCCACACCACTAAAACAGCCCAGCCAAGACACAGAGACATACACCAGCACAACACACGACATGCCGCCAATTTTTCCCTCCCACAACACCATCTGAGTCTGTACAAGAAGAAACCATCCTACAAAGGTGCTCTGTACTTTAACAACCTACCAGAGCACCTCAAGAGAGAACAACCCAATCTGCTCAAGAAGCACCTTACAACATGGCTTTTGGACCGGCCGTTCTACTCTGAGGATGAATTCTTAAACAATAAGCTACCATGAAAAAAAGAAGAAAAAGAAGAAAAAAATTCTAATTGTAATTGCAAATTACTGTAATAGTTTACGTACATACTGTACATTTTATGTACCTGACGCATGAATGTTCTCTAGGAATATTTCAATAAAGATTTTGTCTATTGTCTATTGTCTATTGTCTATATTGTTGTTTTTACATAACAATAGCTAAAACATGGCTAAAATTGATCAACATTAATTTGGGAAAAGTGAAAAAATGTTTTATAAAGTAAAATACAGTGTTTATTTAATACAGTAGTAAACATGGTGAATAAACAGTAGCCTACTGTAAATTAAATCAAATACAGTATACAATAAAGAACTGCTGTACTGTGTATAGAGTACAGCAATGAGGAGTTCGGATTAGTGGACGTTCGGATTAAAGAGGTTCTACTGTATATATATATATGTGTGTCCGTTAGCACGATAACTCAAGCAAAAATGATCCGATTTTGATGAAATTTGGTATAAACGTGTAAACCTACATTTATTCAAACGAGTTCGCAAACCAGCATGATCGGACTATGGGAACAAGGGTTTGTAAGGGGTTTTATGGGGTAAAAATTGGTTTTCCCATTTTTGAAACAAAAAAATAAAATTTAGCAATTTCTTT